AACCCTTCCTTGTCATTATTTCGTAGTGCTCTCCAAAACAAGCCTTCACTGCCTTAAATTGGTCTTTTGTTAATTTTTTTGCTAAAGTCTTTTAGGAGTTTAACATAAACCTACACGAATCAATGAATCGCATTTCTAATCAACCCACTTTCTTAGAAAAACTTATATACTTTTCATCTGTGTTAGGAATGCAATTTACTTTACCCTCAGTAGACCCCAATTTCTTTACACACAAGTAAGCGTCATACCCCGTTAGATTATGACACACAATGGGAACAAAGGTGGGTAGTTGAAAGTTTAAGTTACATGTCTTATGTGCTGCACCACGAGACTTACCTGTCAAGTGGTCATGATCACGCACTTTGTATGTACCTAATTCATCGTCACAAATGTGACAACGGGTACTAGCTTTAAATCGTTTGTCATCTTTTTCTGTCACGACCATGTCTTTTCATCCATTTACATGTCTACAATGTCCTTCACCTCCTCTTCCATACAAGTCACAAATGTTTTCACCACGTCTTCCCCCAAATACACTTTTGTTTCTTTGTACTCCCCATGGGTATACTTGACTAGGTAATAAAAACCAGACGGTGAGTGTTGTTGATACGCATTCGTACTCGCTTTAAGGTCGTTAGGTTGACATGTATATCGGTTCTTAGTAACATTCAATGTGAGCATAAATAACATAAGGAATACGCATTTTACATTTGTAGTTTTGAAAACTTATAAAACGACCTTCTCCTGGTATTTTGATTTTTACAGATTCCTTTTGATTACAATACTCTTCATGTTCATCTAACACATCTTGCCTTGAAAAGTGGTTCATACACCTTCGACAAAAAAAAACATTTCACCATCATGGGATGACATTTGAGCACTTAGTAAACATGACAAACTTTTTATCCAACAGTAATGTTGTTTAGTAACATTCGTTAAATACAACAAGTCTACGTGAGTGGTTCCTGTGTTCTTTGAAATTCGTAACGGGTACACTTCTAATGTTTCTTCATTCTCATCTATATTTACACAATCATACCCAAACACGTTAATACACAATTAAGTATTCCGTCTTTCAGAATTGTCAATGTGTTTCAATAGCATTGGAAAAAGTACACAAAGTGGAATAGGCCAGACATCAGGAAAACTTTGATGTTCTCTGAATTTAAGAAATATGTCCATGATTTGCAAATATGCTTTCTGTGTACTAGGTTCTAATGAATTTATAAGTAAGTGATTTAAATCAGTTCTGAAATCATCGTCTGGAATTCTTGTGGGATTGCTGATAGAGAACTGTCTGCATTCCGGACCAAGTCCATAAAACGTTGTTCCTGAAATCGAGAAAGCGCATCTGCGATTGCATTGTGCTCACCCTCAATATGTTGTGCTTTAAATTGTATGTTGTTGTTCATTGTGAGAAAAACTAGTTGTCTTATCAATGCCATTACTATCTTTGATTTTGATTTTCTTATGTTTACAATGCTAACTAATGCCTGATTATCTATTCTCAACAAAATCTTTTCGTTTCTAAAAGTTTTTCATGCAGGATTCTAACCAACATAAGCACTGTGTCAATTTCAAGGCCTAAAAATGTGATACATGTGGTAGGACCTACTGTTTTGTTCTCTGCCAGTGGAACACCTAGGTGCCTACAAACTTCATTAAAAGTGTCCATCAAAATAGTACAATTATTTGTTGAACTTTCACCAGCAAGGAAATCATCCAAATAGTGGTCTAAAGTTCCAATGCCAGCTTCCAATGCAACTGTTTTATGTAAAAAACAAATGGCGAATTTTTCAAAGAGTGCACATGCTTTAGAGCAGCCTTCAGGCAGATATATATTAATATAATATTTCCCATCAAAGAAAATTCCAAGAAGATCAAAATCAGCTGGGTGAACCAATAAGATTCTAAAGGCCTGACTAATGTCCATTTTTGCGCACTGGACGTTATTTCCTAATTCCGAGATCATACCAACCACTTTATCGAAAGAAGAGTACTAAACTTTACAAATTTCTGAATCAATGAAATCATTCACACTCCAATTTGGAGGATAAGACAAGTGAGTTATAAGACGCCATCCGCCATCGTTTTTGGCAACCACCCCAATAGGGGATATTCTTCAAGTTGAAATTGGAATTTTTGAAAATGAGCCCAACATTCTACAAAGATGTACTTCTTCATGTTCTTTTTGTAATTTTAAATTTGTTTCAGTTTTATGAAGTTCAGCTGAAATGAGATTGCTTGCAAATTTCGAGATCCTTGGACCGGTTTGGTTTAATCTAAACCCCCTCTTAAAATCCCAATAATAACATTACTGCATCTGTTTTGTGTTCATTATTTGACAATAAGTCTCTTAAAGGCTTAATTTTGACTGGGGTTTTGCCTTTGTCCCATAAATGCTCCGGGAGCACGGAATCGGGAGTTAGTTTGCATTCTCCTAGGTGCAAAGGGTTGAAAATTAGCTGTTGTTTAAAGTGGTGCTTGGGAGAGGGCTGATCTGAATCTCTGAACAATCCAAGGTGTCTGAGGATTATTAGAGCTAGTCATTTTGCTATAAGTGCAGAATATAACCGGATGTATACCACTTCCTTTTAAACAAATATGTTTGTATGTGCAATAGTGTTGGTTGCATGTCTAATTATAATTGTATGCATAGCATTTAAGAAAATTGTTTGTTGTTTTTTGTGTAATAATGAGCTCTGGCTCATTCATCGAACCTGCTGATTACATATACAATAACCATAGCTCGGAGTCTATGACTGACCATGGTCCAGCAGGCTCCTGTGATCTACAAAGCCTTTTCGTCATACAGTTTCCATCCTAAGCCTGCATACCGTTTAGCCCTAACAGTTTGCATATATTTCAACATTTCTTGAAACTAAGATGTATGTGTAGTACAATAAATACTGATATATATCAAAAAGGCATCTGTCCACATACCTATTGTGTTAATTCTAGTGTCCTGTTGCTTAGGTTGTAATATAATCTGTCCCTGATTAAATGTAAGTGTTTGGTTTACAACTGTTATGTTTTGGGAATTATTTAACAAACTGCCCATATCTACATATTCCCCATTTATCACTTTTTGTTTGTCATTTTGCGTAACGTTTCGCGCTATGTCATATGTTGCCTTAACCGTCTCAATGGGTAAGCCATAACCGGAGTTAACAATTGGTTGGTGTAATGTTGTATTTCCTTGACCAGGTTTAATTGTTTCTGCTGTCAAGGAAGCTGTAGTCGATATTGGAACAGTGTTAGAGTCGAGCTGTAAATGTTGTGTTCCACTTTTTGGTACATTCCTGTAGCTTTGATGTAAGCATTCGCCACTTTAGGCAAAGTTGGCTTTAGATGAATTTGGCTATTTATTTTAGGTATTTTTTTACATATAGCTCTTCCACGGTTTCGGTACTTATACATCTTCGGATTTCAAATGTTTGGCTTTCAGCGTTCCTGATGAAGGTAATTCCAGAAAAGCGCTTCGGACGCAAGAAATTATTAAACGTGTTTTTTTTCAATTTTTTAGACTTCTTCACAGCCGCCTTTGCACCTCCATTACTCGCCCTGCTCGTCGTCACCCTTTTTCTTCCTGACCTCCTATACATGATCTGAAACTAAAGTGTTTGTGTTATCTTCATTCAAATAAATACATGCGCTTAACATTATATATATATATATAATATAAAAAGCTAAGTGCGCATTAGGTTTTCAGTAATGTTACAATTGGCTTTCCATATATAATTTAGAACGTTTATCTCCCTTTTGTAATTGTTTAACGACGACGTTACATACTTAACTACCGTCTCATATTACAATTATTCGCCTTTCACCTGGATATTGTTGTAAAACATGAAAGTTCTTGTGAATATTTAATAATATATCATGATGTGGCTATATTGGACTTTTTATTTACATATATTTGTCTATACTCAAGGCACTTTACAATTCGATACAATAAAATATATATGTCTGCCACATAATAGTTTAAATACTAAAGTGAATATCGAATTATAATGGAATATGCTTATGTCGCATATAACTCCGATTATATACCTGTAGTTTACTCTTTTTTTGTATTTTATGAACTAAGTTTTCGACTGCATCAACTTATACGCCGACACTAATTTACTGACAAATCTATTCAAAAATTCATCGGGAAAAAAAATTGAGTTAATATGGAAAACCTTTATATCACTTAAGTACGCCAATAACATATCATCGATTCCTTACCCTTTTTAAATTGCATTACTGTAAATTTATTGTCTAACACAATTATATGCATTAATTTATTTTTGCTGTGACCGATTACTCAAGTGGAAATTCACTTGCACATTTTTAATTTTATATATGTTTTTAAATGTTGCTTTTAGTCAAACATTGAAGACATCGAAATTAAATCGATATCAATCCGTCTTTATAGTATTTCAATATACATTTATAGTCCTTTATCAAACCTATTTCTGTTGTTATTCCAACTTTTTTTCAGATTATACTTCTCATCAAATTTTCCGTCTGCTGTAACCTTGCTGTCCTATTTCTAAAAAGACCAAATATTCACGAAATTACAGTTATCCTCAATCCAGGAAACAATGGTACCAAGTGAAAACAATTAATTCACAGTACTTTCAAAAGACCCGAGCAATTCCATCGGATATATTGAAGTGACATATCTTGTTTTTAGTCCTGTTCTTTTGAATGAGGTATTCCTAGTACATATTTTTGGCCTAGGGATCAATCATTTTGTATTTCGGAAATACCCAGATGAATTGTCGTCATCAAGGTTAAGATACACATAAAAAGTAATCTAAATAATTGACAAAAATAGATTTTTTTTAAGAGAGACAATTTAAATCAGCTGTAAACCTTGTTTAAACACGAATGACATTAACAGTGAAAGGACGTGCAACCACAAAGCAGGATGCTAATTGTTCGGTACACTGAATTTGTTAATTGTCTGTGTAATAATTGCGTATAAAAGCTACAAGCCAGAAAAGGTTTTTTGCAGGACGTCCAGACAGTAAACTGTTGCATTTGCTTTATGTAAGTTATTTTTTAGTCATTGAATTTAAATCAAGTAACGAAGCATATTTGTTGTCAAGAAGTAATATAGCGTTTTGTGCAAATTTTGCTAAGTAACCTATAAGTTGATCATTATATTTACGGTGTAAATATATCTTTTAAAAAACATATCTGAATCGAACAGTTATGATAAAGTGTCATTAATATTGTTTTAGTTTCAACATTTTTTGTGATTTGTTTGGTCTCGCATATTTGTATTCGGACGCAATTGGTGATTCCTTTTTAGTGGAACGAGCAACTGGTTTATTTTTTTTAGCACGTTATACATTTCGTGAGTTGTGATAATCATTCGCTGGATGTTAGTGCTGCATGGTGTTGTTTGTTCTCCAAAAGACTCAATACCCCTGCAGTCAGTCCTCCGTTTTGGTCTGTACTTTTACTGTTAAAATTTTAAATCATTAGATGCATATTTAGCACAACGTTTTAGAATTATTAGTTGAAAGTGCTCTTCCATTTTGTTATTGATGTTGTACTATTTGTTCCCTTTAAATTGATGAATTGTAAAGTTTCACGGAACAAAATTTACATGTCCGATGGTTTACGAATTATGTAAATTCTTAGGATTAGAATCGAATACCTTTTATCTTTTGTGTGATGCCTTATCACTTGATAAAGCTTTTCAACCTATTTTATATGACATGTAGGTGTAACATATGGAGCAGGATTCGCTTGCCCTTCCGGAGCTCCTGAGATTTCCCCCGTTTATTGGTAGGGTTCATGTTGCTCAGTCTTCAGTTTTCTATATTGTGTTTGTATACTGTAGTGTTGTCCTTTTCTTTTTTTTTTTTGCCATGGCGTTGTCAGTTTACTTTCTACTTTTCAGTGAAAATGATCCTTTGGCATCTTTCGCCTTTCTTTTTTCTTTAATTTGGTTTGACTTTTGTGATATTCTGCAAAAACATTTTTATTGAAAGTAGGAAAAAGTATCTGACAAAACAAAAACGTCTCAAATTACAAGTCAAAGTACAAAAAATGTACCTGTCAACGAAATGTAACAGTTAAGTTGACTTAGCTACAACCTTCAAAGTGTATCATGCATGCCAATAAGAACATAGGAAGCGAAGGAAAGTAATAAGTCTATCTTCTGTTGAATTTTTGCGAGATTGCTTTTGGAGGGATTTTTTTTCAAAGAATTCTATGATTTCATGTTTAAGATCGCAAACAAACTGTAAACTAAAATATTTGAAATTCGGTTATTATAGGAAATGAAATTCTAACGCAAACTAAAAATGTAAGGACGGCAAAATGGCAAAACTATTAAAAAACACCATACAATCTAGCATGTACAATGTTTAAACCGATTTTTCTACAGTCGTTTTACATCCAAAAAATTGTATCTTTTGATGAAAAGTATGAACATCATTTGTCTTTATTTGCAGATTCTGGAAAAGAATAAAATATAAGAATGAAGGTTTCTATTTTTTTAATTGTCTCTCTGCTGTTGGTTTTTGCTGAAGGTAATAAATATAATATGAATACATCGGGTATCAGATACGTTTAATGTTTATCTTATTTTAGAAAGATTCGCACAAATAAAATTAAAATACAAAAGTTTGTACAGCAACAGTTAATGACTTTAAAGATTCAACTAACGGAGGTACAATTAATCTAATGACATACATTGATTGATCTTTTGTGTGTGTAATGCAATTATCAGCACAAATGGCAATATAATGGCGGAGATTTTGGTTTCGGTAGAGGAAATCTGAGTACAAATAATGCATCATAAATACCAGGATTCAAATGATGTACGCCAGACGCGCATTTCGTCCACAATAGACACGTCAATGACGCTCGAATTAAAAAGTAAAAAAGACCAAAGACAAAGAGAGAACCACTGACCTTCGGCAGTAAAAAAATGCAATCAGAGTCAATCATAATCGAATAGGAAGGAACCTTGACATGAACTCATGAGTGTTGACAGGCATCATACGGCAACAATAAACAAAACTCTTATTGTTAATTAAGCTGCAAATTTCCTTATAGGGAAATCGTGAAAAGGTTCAAAAGAACAAAAGCGTTTTTAATATCACATACTAAAAATATAAAATATCTTTTGCAACACCACTATCATGACTATGAAAACGGAGATATGGCGTCATGGTTTTTGGTAAATTAAGTGGTTAAGAGGAAAATACTGTTTCAACTTTATTACGTAGAAACGATACTAAAAGTAAACGTTACATATTTGTTTCGTTCTGATTGTGAATGACAAATGTTTAATTAGTTGTAAATCAACTATCAATCATTTATTAATATTTTTGATTTACAAATTTCAAGTTAACATGGCTAATGAAGAAATGCTGGAAGACAATGGACTTCTTGAGAAGTAAGTTGAATATACGCATATTGTGATTTGTTCGTTCCGGTTTCAATCTTATTTAAGTTGGAAAAAAATGCATTATTGTACAATAAGTCAGATAATAGGCATACTTAATCAGATTTCAAGTTTCAATTAAAAAAATATTTTCAGCCTGCATGCACGTAAAACTGATTTACCAAACCATGCATAACATGTTCTTACTTTTCTAATTTGTTCAATGTATGTTGCTCCTCCCTGGAAAAACAGTAGCCGAGTTAACAGTCATTTCATCATCCAGCGACCACACATGCTAAATCTGATAAATCAAACTCATGTCATTTGCTACATAGTAAAATCTGTCTACCTTAATGATATATAGCCCAGTCAGAATGTTTTCTCTATGAAGTTTATAGTCGTTCTTATTGAACATCAAAAACTGTCGTCAGGGCTTGTATTGTAAATTTTATGATTTGTTGTATCAATTGGTTAAATAGTCATTCCTTATCAGTGGTGGGGTTGATTACTTTAAATCGTAATCGATTAAATAACAATTACTTTGCCATTTTAATGTAATCGATTACATTACAAGTACATCTAAATTCAAATGTCATCGATTACATTAGATTACTTTTCTTTAAAGTAATCATGATTACTTTGTTTACTTATGATTACATTGTATAATGTAGTATTGAAGAATTTCTAAAGAAACTTTTTATTCTAAAAAAAAAGCTATTTTTTGTAAATAAATTTGTTTTCAAATCCCTAATTTATTCATCTTATTAAGAATTAATACAACTAGAAGCAGTGTAACATGTGTAAAGTTTGATAGCATAGACAAGTGTGCTTTTCAGTGTAAAAGATACAACATGGTTTTTATAAAATGTTTAGCCAACTGCCCAATTAGAAATCAAACCTGAACAATCAATTAAGTAGTTTTATTGTCTGTGGGGATATAATTTACACATCCATGTGTTTACAGGTGTTAATCATTACTTCAATTTTTTGACAGACAATAGGTGAGCTTGGGTATGAAAAATTAATTGTCTTAATTGCAATATATATAAATTTATAAGTAGTTTTTATTCATTATGTATATAATTGTTTGAAAAATTTCAATACTTGATAAAGTTAGAGAGAACAAAATATTTATGGAAAAGAAAAATACATACAAATTGTAAAAAAAAATTAAATGTGGTTTTAAATTTCATTATTAATTGAGACTTTAAGTGGGCTCATTTATGTCGATCCTCAAAGTCAAAATTGGAGCTAAATGGTATTTAATGTCCATGTATTTTTTATCAAAATATTGTGTAAACTAAAATTGGTGTTAATATCAAAAATGTTCCATCAAGGAACACGAAATGTTTTCAAAGCATATTCTTGTATCACAAGAACTCAAACTTACAATGGAACATTTGGAAAGGTAAATACCTTTAGTAAACTATTTACAAAATATATCACACATGTTCACTTTACCAGCCAAACTTGGTTATAGTAAAGTTGTTATATAGATGATAAAATCAATCACATTGAACAACCATCCGTTATAGTGAATACTAGTTTGATCATTTTTCATTCATGCTTCATCTTCTTATTTTTATATTGTATATCAAAAACTTTTTCAAATACAAAATTTGTAATCAGCCAGTAATCATATGAATGTAATCTTAAAGTAATCTAGAAGTAATCATAAGTATACCTGTTTCATACATTGTAATCGATTACATTACGATTACTTGTAATCAGAAATTACATGATAACTGATTACATTGGATTACATTGCAAAATGTAATCAATTACAGCTGATTACGATTACCCCATGCCTGTTTCTTATTCAAGTGATCTACTCCGAATGTTCAGATATAATACACCCTAAGCTTTTGCCAGGGGTTTGTGTTGCTTAGTCTTTAGTTTTCTGTGTTGTGTTTTGTATACGGTCGGTCCTTTTGTCTTTTATAGGCATGGCGTTGTCAGATTATTTTCGACTTTTGAGTTTAAATGTCCTTTTTGTATCTTTCGACTCTTCTTTCGAAATCAACAATAAAACAATGTATGATATTAAATGTTTTCAGCAAATGAACATTTATATTGTTGTCCTGTTTTAGGCTTGTTAAAAGAAGTGTAGGATGTAGTGGCAGACCTTGCAGTCTTTTCAATCCGTGCTGCTACAGACACAAATGTTCTTACGGACAATGCACCTACGGATACGGCAAGTGAGTTCCCGCATCCATAACTTACAAGTACTAGAAAACCTGAAGCAACAGACACACGGAAATGAACTTCCTTTTAATGTAGAACTTGTAAAAATAAAAGTAAATTTTATTATTATATGTGTATGTAATTTCTTTTCCGCAGCAATGTTTATTGTTTTTTTTTCAAATGTTTTTGCACTTACTAAATCAAGAAATATCGATCTAGCGATTATACAATTTGAATAATTATTTTTATTCATGGCTTCGTGTAGGTATCTTTAATTGGTAATCTCTTCTTTTCTTTTAGTCACATGTGTTTACAATACATGGTTTTGAATAGACGCCTGTTTATTGTTGAAAACTACACGCTATCATCGTGATGCCTTTTTTGTATTGTGATGCTGGTTTGCTGTCTAATTAACACATCTTTACATGTTATAGTGTGTCGTTCTATGTTGTGATATTACACTATTGTTTCAGGGTAGGGTGATGGTTGGCGCCTTTTAAAACGTTTAAACCCGCTGCATTTGTTTGCACCTGTCCTAAGTCAGCAACCTGATGTTCAGTGGTTGTCGTTTGTTGATGTGGTTCATAAGTGTTTCTCGTTTCTCGTTTTGTATACAGATTAGAACGTTGATTTTCCTGTTAGAACGGTTTTACACTAGTCATTTTTGGGGCCCTTTATAGCTTGCTGTTCAGTGTGAGCCACGGCTGCGTGTTGAAAGCCGTATTTTGACCTATAATGGTTTACTTTTACAAAATGTGACTTGGATGGAGAGTTGTCTCATTGGCACTCATACCACATCTTCTTATATCTAATAACAATTAGCATTATGACTGATACAAAATCAAAGTATAACAGACACCTACCAACAGTAACCTACATTTCTGTTGCCTGGCTTCAAAAAGGCACATTTATAACAGTTTAAGCGCTCAAACCTAGAGATCACCTTCCTTGCGCCCCCTACCCCTCATGAAATTGGTAAATTAGGACAATCTACAAAACAAATATCTTAGAGCCTTAATGAAGAGATAGGTATAAACCAATAAAAACAAAAGGAACAAAAGATAAAAGAGCAGTAATTGTAGCTGCAGTTAGCGAAAGATGATTTTAAAGACTTGTTTACACACATTTTTTTTAAGTATGTATCTCTATCTCTTCAACTGTTTTGGCTCTTATGTATCATGTATATCATTGGTTTTCAAATATTCGGATTTAAGTTTTCTTGATGAAGGTAAATTCAACAAATTTGTTGAAAATTATACCTTAAACTTTTAATGGAAAATAACTATGTATTAATGTGTGTTATTTCCAATTATCAAACGAATATTCAAGAGCGTATTTGATGAGTAGAAATATAACAGACTTTTATATGGACCTGTATTACACAGAATAGACAATGGACTCCTATCGTGTATAAATAATTTGGGGGAAATAATAAATTTTTACAAATGAGCTCACCACTCGTCATAACATCTCTAAACTTTGATTAGGAAATAGGACAAAATACTTACTATAATCAGCAATGTATATATCGCAATTATCGAATGATCTAACTGACAACATGTTCAACTATTACCTAAACTACATACATATTTAAGGACTCATGTGAGGATCAAACATATTAAAAGCAAATATTTCTAAAGTTTGAAGGTAGACTTTTGTGCCTCATCCTATACATGTAGCTATTAGATTATTAGACTTACAACTAAAACTCGTTAACAACATTTAAGCCCAAATAAAGCAACTCAAATATAAAAACAAACACTTTTGATTTGTCATAATTATAATCAGCTCGCAGAGCAATTAAACACTTTATAATATGAAGCATTAAATGGAATAGTCACAATACATGTATGAAGTCATATAGGGTTGATGGAAATTAGTTTTTCATTAGTTTACCAAAAACATACAAAATCATAGTACTCCCGTCGTACTTAGTATATATAGTTTTGAAAATCAAAAAGCAGAGTAAAAGATAAAATCACTTAATATATACCGGCAACACATTTTGATATTAATATTACTTCTTCTTTGCTTGAAGGCATGTCAATGGATTAGAGTAATCAAAAATGCAAAAAAATCGAAGGTTGGAAAATAAATATTCATGTTCGTTATCCATTAGATGAATTATATTTTCTACTTAGTAATAAGTTGGATACTCAAGCCCATACAGTACGAGCAGAACAAATAATACATAAGGGTTCATATAATATTTATTCTTTTCAGTGTCCTCCAGAGGATACTTTGAGATGCTTCGGATCATTTAGGGAAGCTTAATTAACTTTATCAAGCCCACAATAATATTACACGTTCAAACAAATATAGAGAATCCACACTGGGTCAATAATTTATAATTAATATATAGATATAACAAGATGTAGTATGAGTGCCAATGAGACAACTCTCTATCCAAGTCACAATTTGTAAAAGTAAACCATTATAGGTCAAAGTACGGCCTTCAACACGGAGCCTTGGCACACACCGAAGGACAAGGACCCAAAAAATGACTAGTGTAAAATCATTCAAACAAAATAACGCAGTTGACCTTAGATGGATTTGGCTATTTTTAAGGACATTTGTTGGTCATACAGCTCTTCTAGTGTCAATTCTGATACATACGTTGTATTTGAATATTCGACTTTGAGCATTCCTGATAAGGGTAAACCTAGAGCATCAATTCAGACGCATGAAACTTATCAAATGTTGTTTTCATTTTTCATGCAACAAATAAATAATTCATTACTTTTGTTTGTAAGCGATGCATATAACTCAATATCAATATCTCAAACACTTGTCACAAATAAAAACATTAAAGGGTTAGATAATTTTTTTTTTTTTTGTACATATGTTTTCTAACTTTTCATTCTTAAACATGTTAAAGTTTTATTTATAAATGTAACATGTATCCAATCATTTTGTTTGATATTGCAATAACATATTATTAAGCTATACAAACTTTGAATGAATGATTCAAGGAAAAACCACGATAACAATTTAGTTTTCGAATTGAAAGATTCTGTTGTCAATTTCCGTGTGTAAAGCTTTATCAATTCATACTAAAAATTAGGAATATATACAAGTAAAAACATCTGAATATTAATATAAAAAGTATAACACAAAAAAAACACGAATGTCAAGGTAAGTTATAAAAGGGAAAGTCCATACAAACAAATTCAAACGTTATCCATCAACAGAACTAAGGATAAAACAACTGTCATATTCCTGTCATATACTACACTCACTTTCTTTCAATATTCAAATAAGGAGATGAAGTTAGATTGTTAACGAGACAACTATCTATTCAAATGAAGTTGATGTAAGCAATTATAGGCTTCCGTACAGCCTTCAAAAAAAAACATGAATTCAAATTACAAACAGTTTATACATCGAACATCATTTCGGAAAGAGGTAAAAATCGTCTGTCTAAGGTTCTCACTCAACATGCTAAATATACTATAAAATTAAGAGAGGAACCTATCATTACACAAAGATACTAGACTTGTTTCATTATTTCAAACCGTGTATGATATGGTTCAATTAAATCTGTTCCAGCCTGATAGTATTGAATAATTTGAACAATGTTTAAGATTTCAGACAAAATGAAAATGATGCACATGATAACGATTGTAGTTGCTGAAGCACAGTTCCTTTTCTTGACTACTGGGTTATCGGTCCAAGGCAAATTATCTCGGAGACACGTTAACTTTCGTGTTATATAGATTGTACACACAAAATCTACAAGGACTTCTAGGGCATTTAGAAAACCTACTACGATGTAAAGTTTTCCTAAGACTTTTGCTGTACTAATGTAGACATCTCTGACAAGGCAACATTTACCAACAACATCTGTTAATGTACTGAGACCAATTTTGATTATAGGAGTATAAATAACAAAACTGATGTAAATGTTACAACTGAAAACATAACGCTAGCTCTTTTGTTTAAGTTTCTCATTGTCCAGAAAGGAAATTTGAGAGCAACCGTTTTCTGTATACACAAATAAACAGTAATATACACAGAAATTTTATGAAACATATTTGCTAGTAGGTTTACTGCTCCGTAAAAAATACAAAATGGATAGGGAAAACATACACCGCTGGGATGATATTTCTATAATCGAAATGGTAAGAGAAAGCAAAATGAATTGTATACATTATAGCAGTTAAGGTGTCAGAAGATGAGTAACAGGCGATTGGTTTTCTTTTCTAAGAAATGCAAACAGTACAAATATATTAGAAATTATAATTAACCCTGTAATTGCCTCTACTAAATAAACCACTGCCTTATCTGGAATATAGAGGAAAGGTAGTTGAAACGTATTGCCAATGCAATGGTAATGAATCTCTAAACAAGAATACTCTTGTGTAAATATGTTAATATTCTGTACACTTATAAGGACTTGTTCATTCTTCTTCTTATAACCAGCCGAGTTGATGTATTGTAGGAACGTTTGAATGCAAACAAACTGAATTGAAGTAAGTATAATTTTACTTTGAATGATAAAGCGTCCTTCCTAACTGCATGATTCCAGTTACAAAATATGTATTTGTCTCTGTAATGTTGCTTACTGTTATATTGATTGTTTGCTGATGTGTGTGATACATCACGTCCCAACATTTAGTTGTATTCAGAAAGTTAACCAATAATGAATGAGTACTTTGATTTGTTTTTTTCTTTAATAATGTAATAGAACTGTTTTGTGCAACAATCAAATTCACCGATAAAATAAACGTTATAATCAGTGAGGTACGGGATTGTCTCAGCAAAATTTACATTGTAGTTGTGAGAATTTCCACAAACCAGTGTTCTAGTTAAAGTCACGTTAAAAGAATTTTCTTTCAGTAAAACAGTGATATTCAAAGCCCTAAACCTTTCAAAAGAACATTTTAAACAACATTAAAACACAACAAAAATGGCATCTGATAACTTCCTGATAAATGACGTAGCGGTATTATCCACGGGAAACATTTACATTGTAGTTGTCAGAATTTCCATAAAACAGTGTTCTAGTTAAACACGTTAAAAGAATTTTCTTTCAGTAAAACAGTGATATTCAAAGCCCTAAACCTTTCAAAAGAACACTTTAAACAACA